GTAATAAACGGAAATTGCTGAAATTCAATAGACTTCTTCGTTTCACTAATTTAAATAATGCATATAAATTTCAGAGATATCGGATGATAACTTTTGGAGTTAAAGCGTTCACAAGGTTCAATAAAGTGAAACAAGGGCCATAACTACTAACTAGACGTAATAAACAGAAATTGTTGAAATTCAATAAGCTTCTTCGTTTCACTAACTTAAATATTGCATATAAATTTCACAAAGATCGTATGTTAACTTTTGGCATTAGAGTGTTCACAAGGTTCAACAAAGTGAAACAAGGGCCATAACTCTAGATGTAATAAACGGAAATTATTGAAATTAAATAGGTTTCTTCATCTCACTAATGTGAACAACATATATCACTTTAAAAAACAATTGGATGATAACTTTTGACGTTAGAGCGTACACAAGAAATTGTGGACAATGGAAGGGCGGATGGACCAATGGACGGACCGACGGGGGCGACGGCAATATACGTACACATTTCAATGTGGGCGTATAAAAAGGAAACAATTTTTTGTACAATCTGGTGGCATAATCCATGAAGTTGCGATCCGATATGCGTGAACCTACAGAAACCTAGATCTTCGGGATATATAAACATATTTTAAGTTTCATCAAAATCAGATAAAATTGTAACCTCTAGAGGGTCCACAAGATTGGTATTATATACTTTTACACTATTTGCGTACAAGGAGCTAGTGGCCATTCTGTCGGGCAGTTTCAACATGATTTTTACGAAATTCAAAATCATCCATCATTATGGTGTAACAATGATCTATTTAAACGTTTTTTAAAATCGGATAGAAATTAACGGTCTACTCGTATTACGTACTAAAACTGCCAATGGTTCCCTTTGTTGTACGGCAATGTGTACAAGGGACCGCAATTTTTGTCCCATCTGAAGGACTGAACAATGTACCTTGCCAGGCCCTCCATTCTGCACCAGGGACATGAGGAAACCACAAGGAACTGTCTTGGGCAATACCAATAGCGAACCTCCTGTTTAGCGAGGCAGCACCTTACTCACTGAGCCACCACAGCTTTTTTGAAAAATAAAAAAAAAAGATTAAGATTTTCTGAAAAACCTGCAAATTAACATATATACACATTTTTTAAAATCGGACAGAAATTGACGGTCTACTCGTATTAAGAATTAAAACTGCCAAGTTGATGCACGGCAATGTGTCCCATCTGAACTACTGAACATTGTACCTTGCCACGAGGAACTGTCTCAGGCAATACAGGTAGCGAACCTCCTGGTTAGTGTTACTCACTGAGCCAGCACCACTCTTTTGAAAAATAAAAGTAAGATTAGATTTTCAAAAAGGCCCAAATGTTCTTAATGCAAATCTTTAAACTATGATACAATCATTTTACTTTAAAACAAGGCCACATGAGAGCTTTAGTTTTAATGGTATTCAATGAAGACGTCATGTAGACAAAAGATGTGTTATGTAAATTCAATGGCAAACAATTACATGTTCAAACTCAAATGTCTTATTTTCAGAGTAGAACCCAAAAGCACATATTTTGGTAAACGTTATGGTTAAAACATAACCAATATCAAAGGTGCTGTGCCATAACCTATCAAATTAATCTTTTTTTAAAGTTGCACAGAACATTTGTTTATAAACTGATTTTATGCACCAAATGACCCAATTTATCGTTTGTCATGACATTTTACCTGATTTCAAAGTCTTACACTTTTTTTTAAAAAAAACCATCAATTTTATGACGTCACTTAAAAAAAATTTATGTCACATATAAAAATTCTAAACGCGCCGATCGATTGCAAATTGTGAATTCTTTCCAAAAATATGACAATATTAAAAACTGGATCAAAATTGTAGGACAAGTAGCATTTTGAAGACTGACTTACATTTTCTAAATTGTGGCATTTCTGGTGAATTTTAACTTTAAGAGATTTCTGTAAAAAGTTGATAGACGACTCATATTGACAAATACTTTCAAATAAGGCAAAATTAAAGAAGTTGAAAATCTGACCTCATCTTCAAAGGGGAGATAATCGGAAAATTTTTGTTGACATTTTTGGCATAATCCATCCATTTGTAATGTATTCTGCATGCGTCGTAAAGGCCACAACTCCACAACATAAAAGTTAAGAAATACGAACAGCTACAAATTGGTGAAAACCTCTTTCAAATTGGTTGAAAAACAAAAGAGTTTCCTTTGATGTCTAATATCAGTCTATTTTCATCGATGACATCACTTCCTGTTATCATTTTTAAAGTTTTAGCTATTCATTCACGTTTCGAACCTTTTGGATAGTGTAAAGTTTAATTCTATAGAATATGTACTTTTTCCAAAAGCCCAATGGAAAAAAGATATAAAATAATAATAATAATCTGAACGAAAACAATAATTATAAAAACTAATGAAATGGGGTTTAACCTCCTACCGTTTTGCTACGACTGGGCTAATGAACCCTGCCATACAGTGAGCTATGAGGGAAATTCTACCTGTCGCTACATGTACGGCCTACTCTTATATCGAATTCCAACTGCCACAGAATCCTTTACATGTACGTGAACACCAATGTGTACGCTGGTCGCTGGATCTTGTTTTTTGTCCTATCCAAATGACTAGACAGCTGTCCTTGTCAGGCCCTCCCCGTCCTGCACCAGTGACAAGGGGAAACCATGCCAGAACCTTCTCGGCTAATATCAGGAGCAAACCCATAGCCTCCAAGCGAGCGAGTGAGCGTGTTACTTACTTAGCCACTGTATTTAAGAAACGTGTCATGTGACTTTATAAATAGGCAAAATGGAATCGAACAAAGGCATCCGCTTTCAAATGCCAATGATGTCGACAATAATGTAGTAATAGAATTGTGCCAAGACTGACCATGCCATTGCGGTGCTTCTTCTAAGGTATTCGCCATTTTGTTGATCATGTGATGAATAAATTAACAGTCATGTGTTAGTAATCGCTATATCAGTTCGGAGTCATTATGGGGACTTTGAATGCAGTTCCTAAAAGTTGCCCTTATGTATGTACATGAATGGCATTGCCATTCTTTATTTGTTCCAAATGCCATTCCATAGTTTTGCAGATACTATAGCTTATTTCTCAACTGAAATGCCCTAGCTAGAACTAGATGTATTGTACTAGTTCTAGTACTGTTAGGCATTGTAGCACAGACAATATGTAATATTATTCTACTTTCAAGAAAATATAAGATTATAATATAAAAAATGTCATTGTTTTATACAATGTTTACAATACAGTTTTTTTTTTTTTTTACCAGCTGCAACAGAAACAATGTACATGTATAATAATTGTTGGTGTCTAAAGAAGGCATTATAGTACAGACTTGAGGACTGTGAGGTCATGATTTTTATGCTCTTTAATTTTTGTATTTTATGCATACATAAATAGTGGCATAAATTTTGTACAAATGAAATGAAATGGGGTTTAACTTCCTACTGTTCTGCAACGACTGGGCTTATGAAGACGGGCATATGCCATGCAGTGTGCTATGAGGGAAACTCCAACTATCAGGAGTTCTTTTATGTGCAAGCCAAATGGGGTTTAACTTCCTACTGTTCTGCACCAACTGGGCTAATGAAGACGAGCAATGGTTCTTTTCATGCACGCCAAGGTATAGGCCTACACAGGACCTCAGTTTTTTGTCCCATCCGAACGACTTTATGTTGTCGCTTGCGATGGCCCTCGGTCCTGCACCACTGACAAGAAGGGAACACACCCGAGAATCCCAATACCAGGATCGAATACGGCATGTGTACCTCCAGGTTACTGAGTCACCATTTAAGCTTTCCCAGTTTTAACAAGTGTGATTCCACTCCAGCTAGTGAAGTGGTGTACCAGTACGGCAGTAGTTTTTTGTTTATCAAAGTAATGAAAGTTTGTAAACCCTTGCTGTTGATCATGCTGGTCTCGATAGTCGAAGCATGGTAATGCCAACTCCCAGTTTCTTGGGTAAAGGATAAGGAAATCCCGATATATTCCCACCGGTACCGTATTACTAGATGTAATCAATGTTTGAATTACTCAGTAATGTACCTGTACTTAGATCTACACCCAAAAGCTACATGTAACTACATGTACATGTAATTTTGAAAACAAATTGGGACTTGAGATTGAAAAAATCTGAATGTTGTTGGTGTTCCTCTTTCTTATGACCAAATGAACAATCAAACTAAATCTGAATTGTGGACATTGCAGGTGAGGTAATGACAATACAATTACAATGGGGACATTAAAGTAGCCATTAATATTGTTGATGTTCATAATTTACTGTTACATATCTATGTTTACCAAGGGACCAATGGCAAAATAATTTACCAGGGGCAGTAGCCTAGATGTTAAAATTTCAGTAGGCCAATAAAATTGGTTATTAAAACTCTGGTAAAGAACATGATGGTTACAGAGGCAGTAAATGCCCTGACAGGCTTCTACAATCTCAATAAATACACAATCACAGCCAGTTTCAACAAATATAAAAACTATGCTAATACTAGTCTGTAAACATGCATAAGGTTAATGTTTTAACGTTAACTTAATTGTGATCAGATGCAAACCAAAATTTCAATTTTTTTCAATATCGTAAAACAAGAAATTTATGCATCAAGATATTAATTTATTAATGCAAGCTGGCTTGGGTTGATACAATTTATACCCCCTGCCATTTATTCACAGGGTTACTCTTTTTCAAATGAGAATTGTGGCTTCTTAAGCCATTTTAACCATGGAAGTAATATAATAAAGATAGACTATTATAAACAGGTAGGCATACATGTAATCCATAAGCATAACATGTTAACAAGGGATATTGATTACAGACTACCAGGTTGATAATACATACTGTCACTCTATTAGATGTTGGTGTTCTAAAGTATATTTTATTGTACTATGTAAAGTGTTATGTTTGATGTAAATGAGTACTGGAAATTCTAGATGATTGCATCAATTTCTTGTTTTATATTACCATACTTAGTTTTTACCTGGATCATTGGCCTTCTTTTCCAAAGTTTGAATTTCTGTACAGTCCAATAAACTTTGTTGTAAAACTTGAACAAGGAATTTGGCTTGTGTTAGAGTCAGTTTTTTCAGCAGTGAATACAGGGCTACTGTTTGTTCACATTCACTCCAATTATTAAACCAATTAGTCACTAAACTCACTTGATCACGAAAATTATTAGCCTTCATGATGTCAAAATAAAATTGCACAGCTATTGTCCAAAAGAAAATAAATCAAAGGCACTTCTTTATGTCTTTTTCACAAATCAAATTATCAGAAGTGGTCGAAAAATGTTGAAATCTGAAGAAACTGTTCAATGTAATCGTCAACTGTTAAACATGTTATGGCACATCACGAATGATCAAGAGCCTGAAAGTAAAAACAAAATTCATTTCATTAAATAATATAGACAATTATTCAAATGACAACACTGTTTGCATTAACCAACCAACCATTTTATGATAACAAATAACATATGATTACGATATTATCATTCAAACTCTGCGTTCCACTTTTATGGAGCATTTATTTAAAACGTAATTCAGCATTTATGTGAAACGTATCTCAGCTGTACAATTCTTCAACAATCTGAAATTAAAGTGTAAGTTTCTCTACATTTGCAATGTGTCTGTAGATGCCAGGAACTGGGCCTACTTACAACAGGTTGGCCAAAATATCCACCATGGCTTAAGCGAATTGGGCCTGAGCCCCGGGCAAATCACACTATGTTGCCCACTCCACCAGTGTCAAATTAACCAGCATGACCTCGTGAATGTTTTTTAGAGCATAAAATTTGGGCCCTGAACGAATTTGGCCTCTAGCAAATTTGGGCCCAAACCTATTTTTTTTCCCCGAGCAAAGCAAGGTATCCTGCTAGTACTTTATATACTAAACAAAAAAACAAAAACAAATTGACTCAATTTGTACTCTGGCTTTACTTCAACATCTTTCATTTTCAAATACAGTAGAAGGTTCAGTTTGTTTTTCAATCCTTACTAATTACTAAGAGAGAGAGAGAAATGGGGTTTAACGTCCACTCGACACAAACTAGGTCATTTCGGGACTAACATATGGTTTAATTTTATTTCAATAATTCGCTTGCGCGTAGGGGTCTTTAGAAGTAGGAGGAAACCGGAGGACCCAGAGAAAACCCACGAGGTTGGACAGGCGACCCTACTCCTTGTCACGTACAACCGGGGATTCGAAACCACGCCAGTTGACTCAATGACAGACTTTATGATACAGCGCGCACGTGCTAACCATTCAGCCATCCAACCCCCCTAATTACTAAGAAGTGGTTATATAGAAGTGTTAATATACATGTAGGCTATTACCGGTAGTAATATTATATAATGTAATCTTCTTGAGCAATGCTTGAGATAAGGTCACCTTAGTCTAGTACAATGTACATGGACAACACAGCTGTTATTTGAAATGTTTGGAACATCCATGTTGTACACTATTGTCTTTGGGTTGGAATTATTTCAGTTTTGTCCCTTTCCTGTCTTGTCACTTTAATAATACTATATAGAATCAATTAGAACTAACATCCATTACTTATCTTATATTATTATTATAATTCTATCAAGATGAACATTAGACATGAAACTGACAGATTTCAATTATATCTGGCAAGACACAATTAGCTCATGTATTCGACAAAAAAAACTTATTTGTATCTACATGTAAGTACAGGTTATGGTGGGGGGGGTTTATCTCAGAAAAATAAATCTTATATCGTGTATTTGAAGTATTTTGGCTTTGGTGATCTTCACATGTCATCCAAAAAATGTTTTTGTTATGGAGACGTATGATTTGATTATACAATTAATCGGAGAGATCAAATCAGATGGCCATTTGTGATGTGAATAAAGTACAGGCAAGTTCTAGGTTAAACATACATTATACAAGAACTAAATGTGCCTATTGCAGGTCTTTCTTTAGGCCTGAAATGTTATATAAACTATTAATTAAACATTTGGTAACAAAACAAAACCATAATCAACTCGATGGCATCAGATACTTGAGATTTTAACTAGATTAAAATGGTTCGCCATTTAAAAATTCAATTTAAAAATGGGAAAGCGAGGCTAAGTCCCGATTATACCAGTGCCCTGGTTACCACTGTTCACACATCTTGTCAAAACTGAGAATGAAGTAATTTGAATGAAATTTTCAATATTTTCTTTTATCATCTATTTTTGAATTATTATAGCAAGAATGACCAACTCTTTATTAACCTCTTAACTAATGTATCTTTAATTTACAATACGATATTATTATTGGGAGTCCAATTAATAAAATTTGTTTTGATAAGATATAAAATAGCGTGCTAAATTTCAAGATTGGTCTACAACAGGCATTACTATAGTACCGGTACCTAATGTGACGTCATGGTTCAAGCTGCATAGAAATTTGGTGGAAAGATTCTAAAATTTCTCCAAAATATCTTTCCCAATCGATAATGATTAGATTCTCAACTTTCAAAGAAATATCTTTCATAAATACATGTAGATGAAAAATAATTATATACTTTATATGACAGCCTGGATGACAATTAACATGCTATGAATCATGACTGACATCTGCTGAACATTTTACAATTGTTCAAATGGAATTTATTTAATATTTCTAATTTTACTATGATGAGTAAGTAATACAGAAAAGGTCATAATAAGTGTGTGCGTGTTTGAATGATTTAATAATTTCTTTGTCATGATATCTTAAATGGAAAAAATAATATTTTTTAATATAAAGAATGTGAAAATTCTTGGTAATAAATGAAAACATTAACTATATTTTGATGTAATTGTAAACCAACAAAACAATTAATCATACTGCTGTTACCCTACAGGCACATTTTGTGACTATTTTGATCTGTTCTTTTGTGTTTAGTTTATTACAATGATAAGTCCAATGCTAAGTAGGCCTAATGTTGTGCCACTTTTAGTGAACACTGAATAGTGAAAGGTAGCTCCTAGTCCTCAATAAAATTACAAACTAATATCATTTTCGTATTCAAAACAGAACATTTTAAAAATCAAACAAGTTTATAAAGCACATCGATCTGACTAGCTGCCAAAAAATAGAATAGGATGTAAACTATTTTGGCCTAGATCGAGCTCACATTCAGATTGTTTAGATGACAATTATTCACATGATCCAAGCACTGAAAATATCCCGTTAGTCTTGACTGTTTGGTTAAATCTAAAAATTGTCATTGTAAGGATGTCAGCAGCTTTTTTGTGCATTTATAATATTTAGAATATACTTAGCTAAAAGTTGTTCCACTAACCTAATCTCACATTATTGACATACGACATATTAGATAGTCTACAATAAAAAAGGAGTTATCTACAACAGACTTATTTATCACGATCGGATAGAATTATCGACGTAGATTATACATTTACTCAGAAACAATCCCACTTCGTAAAAACACGATCTATTCCCTTGTGTACATCATTTACATAGTTATTTATTTAGTCAATATCGTTAATACTTACATGTCAAACATGATTATGATGTGAAGTACATATTTTGTTGACGACATGACCCCGGAGGAGACAGTCGAAATAGACTACTATTTTTAAGTCCACATGTTAGGCCTATGCTAATGAATGACGTCACTAGATCCAGCAGATATGGAAGGCGAATACCTTTTCAAGCTTGACAAACAAAACAATCAGAGGGCATTGGGTCCCCATTGCAATAATTGACGTGTATTTGTTCTTAAAGAATATGATAATTCCTAAACGTATCTTTAAAGTGAGTAACTTTGATGAAGAATAATATACTTTGACAGGAAATAAGCTAAAGATATCTGGTCAAATGGGGTCATCATAACGTTAAACGCCCCCTGGAAAAAGTATGGTAACACATTCATGCCACTAGTCCGACACGTTACCATGACGTGTAATATTTTTGTCATTTTGTAGCATATTGCGTAGTTAGCGGATATAATATATTACGATGGCCAAGCTTAGTAGAATCTTTCAATAAGTTATCTATATTTTGAGAAAATTACATTAAAGACACAGTCAAGTCATATCAGATAATTCATATAACTCGAGCCTAAAACAGCGAACATTTTAATAATACTTATAAAATATTATTGTATTTACAAATTTGAATCAATAAAGCTGATTTATTATCTTACGGGAATGGAAATTAAAGCTTATCCATAATAAAATGGGGACGTATAATTCAAACTTATATCGCCTGAACAGTACTATAGATTGTAAATGTCGATGAAAATATTCCATTCACATGTATTTACCCTGAACTCAGAATTTCTTTTATACCTAATAATATTGTGTATGTTTTTTGAAAACTATAATACAGTTTAATACGTCAAGCGTGCACAATTGCTTTTGAACACCCTAGAGGCTAAAGTTATTATCCGATTGCCTTAATATTTATACACAGTGTTACTGTTCTCGAGACATTATGCCCTTGATCAAATGTGGTTGATCCTCTTTTTAGACTAAAGATATCAACTGATTGCCTAAAATTTATACACAGTGGTTATGAGGCAATAAAGCCTTAATGCTATACATCTCTTTCAGCTACTGCCAGGGTTATGACTGCTAATTTTATCATCTGATTACCAGTAGCCTACATGTTTTGTATAATAAATGTTAGCACTGGGAAGAAATATAAAGCCAATCAAATCGTCTGATAATTACTTAATTTGTTGTTATACTCTTGGTCAGTCTTTTGTGTCTTGTAAATGCTGCCATTACCCACACCCTCACCCCTCCAAAACCCCTAGACGAGTTATCTGCTATGGGTGTATGTTTTATTTCCTAACAATTCTATTTTGAACGTCTTCATTTGTAAAATAATAATTTTGAATAGACCCCGATACAGACTACTTATCATATCAATTTTTGTCAAGTTTCTGAGATGTAAATAAGCTTAAGGCACGTTATTGTGGGCGAGATTGTAGGTTAGGGTTAGGGTAAGCATTGGAGTTGAAGTTAGCCTTATCAAATAGATCTAACCCTCAGTGGGACAAATGTTTCTTCCCCCCCCCCCCCGACATTTTGGTTTGATCACAAGATCAAAAGTTCCATTGGATGGCCGAGAGATTCTAAATTTAGATTCGAATATATCACTGTCTTTCAAAAGGACTGGCTGGGATTCGTACATTGATCGAAGTTTGAAAATTATGTTTTAGTACCAAAAATTGTTCAATACATATAACTTGTCACTAACTCAGAATGCACCAAATTGAATCTGGTTTTCAACATTTTCTGGAACCTACGCTTTTTTATCTCGGAAATCTCCCCCCCCCCACCCGCCACAAGGTTAATCCAACACAGAGACGGAATATAATATAGAAAGTGGGTTAAACCCTTTTTAACAATAAAATCATTTAAGATATTTGGAATATGATTTTTAATTTGCCAGGAGGGGAAGAAAACCGGAAATCTCTGAGAAATCTCACGCGTCTATCATACTCCGAGCGGGGGTGACCTCTAGATACAGTTGTTGTCTGAGATTGTGAGAGGACATCTGACAATTCATAAAAAGAATTGACTGCCACTAGATAAGTGAACACGAAAGAAAAACAGAAAAAGTCCGTGCATTACCATGTTTTTATAAGGTATAAATGAATATAAACAAGGGAATGTACGGACTATTTCTATTTTTCTCGTGTTCTTTTATCTAATGACATTCAATTATTTTATTGAATTGTCAGTATCCTCTTACAGTCCCATTTAACAACTTTTGGTCTTCGAAGGAATTATTATGTGAACAGAAATTCGGCCGTGTATCTGTTATCACTCGTCACATCAGTCAGTATATAGAGAGATGACTCATGTTTTCCTTTGGCGTTCGTCACTTCCGATTCAGGAAACCTGTATTACTCAGCTATCATAGCAATGATCTCTGGGTTAAAATTATATTTGGAATGTGTTTGACTAGCACCAATATTGTCCTTTAAAGCAATAAAATGTCAGCGTAAAATATAAAAACTAAAGCGAAACCTGTTCTAATTAATAATAGGAGCATTTAAAATTTATCTTCAGGTGGTCTTAGCACCGTACATTTACTTTGGAACGTCGAAAAAGATCTGGCATAACAGAACCAAAACACTTCGAAACCGGTTTCAATAATACGTAAAAACTGTCAAATCAATATCTCTCCGATTTAGTTTTACAACGATTGGTATACATAATGAAACTAATTGTCCGAAAAACAATTGATCACGAAGCCTGTCAAACTTTTCCCCGGTAACATTTACCAATACGGCATTTATATGTTGTAATGCACCCGTCGGTTTTATCTGTGTCCATGTTCCGGTGAAATTCATGAAAACTCATAAACCATGTACAAACTTTTAATCACGTCGTCAGATACGTGTTCTCCGGTCACAGATTAACGTTGGTTTTCCCAGATTGGGATTCCTGGAAATCCACGCGCCTGCAAGCTGGAGCCCAGTCTATTGTTTTTCGGACTATTATTTTCATTATGTAGGCTATAACAATCGTTGTTAAACTAAATCGGGGAGATTCCCCCACCCCCGCTAATAATTTGGCCACAAGTACTCTTTTCTCCGGGTTATTGTAACGCAAGTAATAATGCCGTTAAATACAACGAGGTCTGCTTTTAACAAAGATCGTAGACTTTCAGAAGAAAACCCTGTTATTCCCTATACTGACCCCCGGGTAAAGAGCTAGACTCCTAGTTGCGAGGGCCACGATTGGTTAACTGAACAGTCGATCTTTATTTCAACTCCATCTCACACTCTTTCCACGTGTCCCTTATCCATCAAATAATTCACTGCTATCAGTTATGGCCTTTTAAAATAAGCCATTGCCATGCAAAATATGCCCCCATTTTCCAAGAAATGTATGGGAAAGAGGTAAAATCAATAGAGCTCATCCTCTCATTCAAGATCTTTTGACCCTTAATTGTTAAGCATCATCAAAATGGGGCAACAATTGTAGCCCCGCAGGAGGGCCTAAAAATTCATACATATTTCACATTTTGCGTGAAAAGCAAAGGCTATAGCTTTAGAATGTGAGGTCTGCTGCATACCAAAGTCGAAATCATCCAAGAACATTATTGATCCTTAACACATAGTTTAAGTTTCATCTCATGAATCGGACAAAAATTGTAGCCTCAGGAAGGTCCACCAAACTTCATTCATATTTAACATTTTGCTTAAAAGGCAGGGAGCCAATGCGCACCAAGAGCTAGTGATAGTCGTTTTAGGTTCATCTAAATCGGATAAAAAGTCTAACCTCATGCTTTTATACTATTTGCGTAAAGGGGAGGGACCATTTGACTGTAAATTTCGGTCCGATTTTCAGGATATTCAGACTCAACCATTAATTATGGCGTAACGGTGATATATTTGATCGGTTTTAAAACTAGGATAAAAAGGGTCCACAAGCTAAAAACGTGATATTTCGTACAATCAGTGGTCATAATGTAGAAAGTTACGTTCCAATATCGAAAGGAACCCAGACCTTTGGGATATATCAAAATTGTATGAAAATTCGAAAATGTCGAAATCTTTCGGTTATAAACATACGTTGTCAGTTTCATCAAATCGTATAAAAATTGTGTCTCCTAGAGTGTCCATAATCTTGGTATTATTATGTATATATTTGTCAAGTTCAACACCGCAGGAAACCACCATCGAGTGTGTTTGCATGGTAAGCGATTTAGAAAAGAAATACAATTTCACTTCATTGCTGAGTAATTTCATTAGCGTGCACGTAAAAGATCCCTTGACAGTTGGAATTCGATATAAGAGTAGGCCGTAATACCGCTGTCCTGGCAAAATTTCCCTCAGGGCACACTGTTTGGCGTATGCCGGTCTTCGTTAGCCCAGTTCGGAGCAAAACAGTAGGACGTTAAACTCCATTTCATTTCATTTCCTAGGATGGTAGCTTCCGCCGGCTCTGATTAAAACAGATTTCGCTTTAGTTTTTATATTTTACGCTGACATTTTATTGCTTTAAATCTTCCTAGTGCAAAAACAGAAAAAGAACAAAGGTGAATTAAGCAAGTTTACATTTTTATTGAACGGGTGATTACTTTCGATCATTTTCAGCATGTTTTCATTCGCATTCACTTTCAGTGCAAATTACCTCATTTGACCTTTGACTCCGAATATCGCGAAAACGCCCCAACAGCGGACTGATAACCACTCAGTAAAGTATTCTACGCAAAATTTTACTTTAGAAAAGTTGGGTCTGGAATATTCATCCTTATTACATTAACAATTTATTAAACAATTTATCACAACAATATATTAAACAATATATTACATCAACAATTTATTAATCACAACAATATATTACATCAACAATTTATTAATTTTAATAACTTTTTGTTTAAAATTTTTAATGCCCGTCTTTATTGGCCTAATCTCACCGTAAGAGTAGGATGTTTCAAATCACCTATTCACTTGGTCCATATATTGCACCACACTTCTTCAAAAGCTGGTTGGTGCTTATGGTCTCTTCGTGGTATAACTTCCATGTTGAATAGCTTTCCTTGTATAGATCTGGTCTATCGTTTCTGATGCCGTTTCAGCTTTCCTTCTGAAACTACTTTCATCTGTATTGGCAACTGACTGACCTCCTTATATAAAAGTGTCGACAGTAAATAAAACTGTAGATTGGCCTTCTTTGCTTTTTGGTTGATACGATTATACCACCCTTCCACATCATTATTTGTCCGTATGGTTAAACCAAACGCACCGAAGGCAGTCAATAATTATGATTTAATACCCATTATAATTATATCATACCTGGAGACCCCTTTCTTGAACCTTCCTCCAGACAATTTGTAGTGAAGAACACAAC